TCATCCGGTATAGGGGTTAGTGACGCTAACTGCAGTGCCGTAGGATCTGGGCTCAAATCCTGTGTAAGACAGGAAAGCTTGTGTTGAAATCCTTCTCTGCTTTGTGATATGTGTTTCACGCTTACTTCTATGTAAGCCCTCGTATGATACTTTGTGGCGCACGGGATTACAAATGTTCTCAATAAAAAAATGTACCACACTAAATAGTGATACCAGCTCCCGGGGAATGTGTAGAAGTACTAGGTCTGCAATGGTAATTGCCAATCTGAAGCCGCATTAGAAAAAATTGAATTCACTCTAGAAACTAATTAGAGGTTGATGTAGAAGAGTCAGACAATTTTGAATCATTACAAAGTAAGAAGGGCGACACTGGATCAGTGGTCTTCAAACTGTGTTCCACAGAACCCTGGGGCTCCACAAGGCATACCCAGGGCTTCCACAAGTCATAATAAGAAAATCTAGAAGAAATAAATATGTATGCAAAATGGATTCATGATCTCTATGAAGTTTCTACAGTTATAAGTATTTAAAACTTTTTAAACGTTTATTACAATACAATAAAAGTATATTAAAACGCGCGCGTTTTATCTTTATATATATACTTCCTTCTAGATTGCGAATAGTCTGTTATTTACTATCTTGAACTCTACGAGATAATTTTATACTCGTTAAGTAGCACAATGTCCTCATCAACCTTTAAACAGTTTTCTAATGCAAAATGCAACTTTTAAAATTTGTGTAAAACAACACATATAATGAAGGAAAGAGAACAATGTATCGACAGAGTTAATGTGTATTAAAATCTAAATTTAAGCAAAAACAACTTCTAACGTTTAGGTTGCAAATCCATGCGAAATGCACTGGACTTCTCACACGGCTATAAACATTTTCATTTCATTCAGAATATTGTCTTTAAGTGAGAAGTATATTTCTCAACTTAAGTGGCTATACAAAAACAAAGTATAAAAGCAAATTTAATGCGATTGCATTTAATCTCAGTAAACCTAGACTTCGACAGTTCGTGTGAACAAAAGCAAGCACATATAACAGTTACTAAGAATAGTGTGTGTGTGTGTGTGTGTGTGTGTGTGTGTGCGTGCGTGCGTGCGTGCGTGCGTGCGTGCGTGTGTGTGTGTGTGTGTGTGTGTGTGTGAATCACAAATTAATATTATTAATGAGTATATTATATTTAAAAAATTAGATACAATTTTTTAATAATAAGTGTAATACTTTTTTTCAATTGCCTTTACATATAAAGCACGTATAACATGTTGATCTACTTTAAACATTATTTTGAGATATATTCTTCGAAATACATTTATAGAGTGAGGTTCCAAGGAAGTACCTTCAAATTCCAAGGGTTCCGTGAGTTGAAAAAATTTGTGGACCACTGCCTTAACTTCGCAATTTTTTAAATTTCTATGAAAAAATTGTATCAGCTTGTTCTCAAGTAATAATAAAAGGGAAAAATATGAAAAAAAAATTAAGGTACCCGACTAGGTTCGAAAACCAATTTTTCCAAAATTGATTATCCGAAGAATTTTATTATTTTAAAGAACATAAATAGGCTTAAAGAGTTATAATTATGAAATAAATACCATGCATCACCTCTGTTTCTGAAAAAAAAATTATTTTAATAAACTTTTTTAAAAAATTTCAATTTCAGGAAAAACAGCGTAAAAAAACAATATATTGGACATAATGTAATTTTAATTGCATTGATATATTTATTTATCCACCTGAAGTGTCGCAAACCGCAGGTTAAAAAATATTTTCAAAAATAAATATTTAATAAGCATCCGAACTTTACGTTAATGATTTTTCGTCAAAATTACTCTTCATTCTATGCTAAAAAGAACTATAAAATGTTATTAAGTGTAAGTATCTTAAAAACTGCGGTTTGCTACACTCAGAAGGTTTTATAACATAAGTGTTGCAAATTTCATTGAATTTTATATAATTGTTCTGGAGATATCCCAGTTTTCGTGCAAAAACTATCGTGAAAATTTCATTTTTCAAAAAACACATTTAAAAAATATACTTATAAGTTACATAAAGTAAATATTAAAAAAACAACTTAAAAATCTCCAGTTTTATAGGTAATTCCTTCTTCTTCCTCAATTTTTATATTTCTTTTTTTCGAATGGCCCTAAGTTTTCTGCAGGTTTTTGCTGTTGGCAGTGAGTGACGTTTTGAGTCTGCAATGCGCTCATTATCGAAGGTTTTTGTCCCCGTATAGTATAATACCCCGAAACAATTCCCATTTCATTTAATATGGATATTAATCCCTGAAAGGCATTATTAAACTGCACAACAGCAATATATGCTCCTAAACGCAATGTTTGATGCTCAACGAAAACTTCTTTTGGTAATATCTGCCACAAAATTGCATTAAAACTTTCATTCGGATTTTGAGTTTTTCCGTGTAAACATTTTTTTAAAAGATTTCTGTCACACAAATCCATATAAACAGGCTTTGTCGTGTAAACAATATTTTGTGGCAGGCCCAAAGATTTATCCTGGTACACAATATTTGAAGCTTTAGCCCGTTGAAATTTACACCAACTTTCATCTCCGACAGGGCACTGTCCATGTTTTGATGAGCAAAAATGAAAGAAGGCAGAAATAACAGCAGACTGCATTTTGTCCAAATTCCCAATATTGCTTCGAATAGCAATCCCATAGTAATTTTGTAACTTATTAATTAAACCATCAGTTAATTTACCTTTCCCCCGAGTCCTTTATTTCTGCTTTTCAATTTTCGAAGCCTTGTTCCAACTCTTTTTTGAATATGCCCTATACATTCTAGCTTCGTAACAGAATCTTTCCCGTAAATGTCCTTCACGGCATCAAAAGCTTTGGAATCCCCATCCCCATAATATTCAGTGTATCGTAACATTCTATGATCTTCCGACCTCTCAAAAATACGATAAGCCCCAACCGGTTCCATGCTGGATGAAGATCCTTTATGATGATTACACTGTATTTTCACATTTTGTTGTTCCGTCTTTGAATTACATTTTCTACAAAACTGAGATAAAGTTTCAAAGTCAATAATTTTCCCAGTATCAACAGATATTGCACTAACACAACCATTTAGCGAAAAAAAACCACGACGCTGCCAGGTACCATCCACCGAAACACCACAATTTACAGTACCATGTATAGATTTTTTTAATTGCCTAATACCTTTTGCTGCGTCATTCATTATTTTTTCTCCAATGGAAATAGCAGCACTGAGGAGTTTTTTTCTTGTTAGCGGAATGCAAGCTTTGAGAGAAAGGGAGGTAGATTCAAAACAGCACAAAGTTTTCTTCCTGCTGAAACACCTCTACCAATCAATCTTAATCCATAAACAAAACGAGTATTGAGTTCATTCGTTTTGTCTAACTTTTTAGAAGTACAAAATGCCGATATGAAACTGCAATTTTTGCAGTGCAAAAAAAAGTTTGAAGATAATCCAAACCCCTTGAATCTTCTACAAGATAAAGGCTTCCTGCTGTACACATTTTTGTTGGGCAACACGATAAGGAAAAATACCAATTAAAATTTCCATATCAATCAATCTGTTTCCAGTTAAATGTTCTGAAATGTTACTTACATCATTATTTACCTCATTACATTGCTGCAGCTTCAGTGAACTGACGGTCATAATTTCTTCATTGGATGAAGCAGTTTCAGTGCTTGTATTGTGGTTTCCATGAAACTTTCTTTTACGGGGACGATATGAACGACATTTACCCATGATTTCAGGTAAAATAAATTAAAGATTAAATTAAAATAATTTAAATTCTAAAAATAAAGCAAAATAGAGAAAAAAAGAATTAAAATAGGCGTGGTAAATCTAACGTCGAATGTAAACAAACACGGAATAGCAATAGTCTTAAAATGTCGTTGCCAATCGTTTGCAACAAAATTATTTGAAATAATTATTAGCAAACTGTGGCTTAGTAAGAAGATAATTAAAATTTGGTTTTTGAAACTTCATTTTAGGGAAATAATAATTAAACACTGCATACGTCGCTCACTTCCGGTCCAGATTACATTACTTCCGGTTTCGTTTTCAACTACTGTGACTTATTTAAACTGCTATAATTAGAGTTCTAATTTACGTAAAATTAAAATAAATGACTGTTTTGGAATCTTAAAGGCTGGGGCTTGATTTCACAATCATAAAAAATTCGACTTTTTTGTCAAAAAACACTTTTTCAACCTAGTCGGATACCTAAGCAGTTTTAAATTGAATTTCAGCCATTTTTGTTTTGCTTGTTTGTTGCAGAAGTGTAACATTGCACAGTAGGGCTGATAGTTACAAAACTTTTCTATATGAGGATTTTATTATTCATCATAAAATGTTTAAATTACTTACTTGGTAATTTGTTTCGTCATTAAACATGAGGAAGCATAAAATATAATGGATTCTTTTTATAGCAAAAATACAGTTCTTGAAACATCAGAGATTTTTATAATTAATTGTTGTGATTTCTGGAAAAAATGTACTTCCATCCAGTGACAAAATTAGCATGTATTTCGTTGCAGTAATCTTTTTTTTTCTCATATAGGTGATTTGTAGGTAATTAAAAAAATAATTGAGTCAGTTAAATTAAAATAAATCATATGTTGCAGAAATGCAACAGTGCGAAGTTAAGGGTTAAATTTAATCTCAATTTCCTGATTTCCAAATCCTACGATGAGTGAGAAATCTAAGTATCACAACTCCATTTAACACATTTTGGTTCTTAGTATATAGTTATTATTTTTATAATTAACAAATAATACAAAAAAAAATGTTGAAGTAAATTCCTACTTAGGTCAACAAAGGAAAAATTTTTAGTTACACACTTTTTATTAAATAATTACAAATAATATAAAATATGTACTACATACATATGACTGAATCACAATATTAAGTGACAAAATAGAATGGAGTTTTTCTTTCTATAAATTGTGTTGTTTGTTACCATGTATTCATTCATAAATTATTTTCTCAATAATTGAGCCATCCCAGGTAGGATTCAAACCCACGACCTTTGGATTAGAAGTCCAATGCGCGCGCGCTATCCATCGCGCTACGGGGACAAAACGACTGGCTTTCTTTTCTTTACGTGCTGTTGGATAATTATTTTTGTTTGTTACTATTATTCATTAATTAAGTTTAACTAATGAATTAATATTTGAAAAAACTGTATTAACATCAAGCGTCATCCACTACAAGTTTAAAATGTATTTGAGCTTGAATGGATGAAGAGAAAGTATTTAATAAACGCTTGAAATTTTGAAAAAGATGTATAGATAGATGAATAGATAGGAAGATTGTTCAACTAATAGTAGGAATTTAATAAAAAAATTCAATTTCATAAAATCATTTTGAAAACTTTTATTTAGTCGCCAAACAGCGATGTAACACCAAATATAATTTATCAGCAGCATGTAATTAACGTAACTTTAGAGTATAATTCTTACACAATTGGGTATCTTACACTTTTGAGAAAAAATCATATTTTTAACAATGGACACACATGCTTCTAAACTAAATTTTTAATCCCGCAAATATCTAAAAGAAAGGGCTCTTTGGGTTCTCCACTTTTAAACGTTCTGCTGAAATAAATTCTTTAAAATGGCTAAAGATGAATGCGCTTCAAATCAATCGATTGTAAGCAAATTAAGGATGGGCTCAGCTGCTTTAAGGCGCCCTCGATTTGAGAAAGGCTTTTATGCTAATTGCCACCGGCCTGTTTGGCGCGGAGAACATCCCATCGCCAACTGTAAACGGGGTCGAGGAATCCATAACTTCATTACCCCTTTCATCAAATCTCGTTTACTTAATTTTGCTCCGTTTTGTTATAATTCCGAATAATAAGATCAGAAACCTGATTTCATTTTTGGCAGCCTTGATCTTTTCTGTCATCTTTCCCAAAATCAATTAATGGAATGATATTTGATTAAATCGAATGCATTCTTGGTGTTTGAAATGTTGTTTGATGAGATTCCATTCTTTTGAAAGCAAAAAAGAAAAAATCGTTCTTCTTTCCATTTGAAAGATGACAGCGAATGAAGTATTTGAGAGATGTGAAAACAGTAACCTTACACATATTTAAATTCACATTCCATGATGCACTTAAAACTTTTACCAAACAATATCTGCTGTATGTATACAAAGAATATTAAATACTTACACTAAAATATAGTGATTTAGTAAAAATAAATTTTTATGCACATTACTCGCGATTATTTTCTTTATGACGTTCTAAAATCTGTTTCAGAGGTATTAAGACAAAAAAGATAAAATAAGTTATTATTAAAATTGTATATATATGACGAAAATTTTAAGAATTAATCCCTAGAAATCATTTACTATTGCCTTGGTATATATGAGCCACGTGAAGAAGCTCAAAAGTTTTGTTCTGTTTCGGCCACAGGGATTGACTTAGGTTGTACAAAGTTATCTTCCTTTCAGTTCAAAAATGACATTTGCTTCATGAATGGTACAAAATAATTTGGTATTTTGCTGTTTTTAATCAAGTTCAGATTATGAGTAATTTTATGTTGTGTGGGTAAACTTAATTCTCTTCAAGGTCATTTCCCTGATGAAAGTAAGGATTTTGAACAAATCCCTGATCTGTTTCAGTGAAATAATATTGTCAAGAGTTTAAAAGTGTTTATTTAACACAAATATGGTGCATTATTAAAAGTAGAAGTAAATAGCACACTAATAGTCAATGAAATGCAAATTATTTATTCGGAACTAATTAACAAATAATTAGAAAACTAGGCTATTTTTTTTGCTGTAACATCTTTCCTCTCGGTTGCTTACACACTAAAATATCATTCCCTATGTTAATCCTATGGTGCCATTTTTTTTAAGATATGGAGTTGGTATTTAGGGGATCGATAGTACTACTTGTTTGGTTAGGAAGTACAAAGTCACGAACCCCCCATCCCCAGGTGTCTCCCCATCTCTGGACAGCCTTTTTCCAATGCAAATCCTGACTAGTTCATTTCATCATTTTACTGAAACAGTTCAAGGATTTGATAAAATCACTTACTTTAATCAGGGAAATGATCTTGTAGAGATGTTATTTTAACATCTCCCGTCAATTGATCATACCGCTTAGGGATTTTATGAAATTCCTAATTTCGACATTTCCCTGCGACATACATACTTATATATTGTAATATATAAAATTTTAAAATCAAATAGTTTCATTTCTATAGAACTTTTTTAACAATGTTCAATTACTTTAATACATTTCTGAAAACTAACTAAAATTCGATATACAAAGTGAAAGGATAAAAGCACATACAAAAATTTAAAAGTTCACTTATGTTTAACTAAAGAGAATCTGCATTATATATACATACGTATCAGTAGCGCACACAGGAATTTTTCAAGGGGGGTTCCGGGGTCAAAAGTTCACCATTATTGTATCATGCTCTTTTTGAATTTGTCGATTTTCGGGAACAAAACACAGTAAAAAACTAATTATTGAATAAATAATTAGCATTAATTAATACAATTAATCATTAATAACAAATGCTTGATTAAATTTTACGTACTATATACTTAGAATTTAATCAATTGAAAAACATCAAGGGCTTTGGGGGGTTCGGACCCCCAGGAGCCCCTTTGTGTGCGCCACTGATACGTATCCTATAATTTAGTCAGTAATCAACAAAAAAACTCACATCCTATTTCTCCTCAAACGCTACAATTCTCATGGAATTCTGTAAAAGTTGTTTCGCTGCTACCTTATACATACAGCAGAGAAGCATTTCATGCGAGAGCTAAAAAGTGCAAAATTGTATCAAACCTCATTCTTAAAATATTAACCATATAACAGTTCATATTAACTATTAAATTTTATAACACTATTTTTTCAAAATCCTAACAAGTATGTGTAGGAATGGATGAATGAAATCGAACTCTCACCTACTTTCCGATCCTCCAATCTTCCGCATAAACTACAAACCAAATATCTAAATTAAAAGAAATTGGAAGAGCACAACGACATATTTAAAGCAAATCATATTTGGGGGACAGAATAATATTTCGCGATTTTAAAAAATGATTTTTTTTATAAAATAAAAGAAAAGAATGATTTATTATTCGACACGAACTCAGCAATAAGATTTCAATAAAAAGCAGATTTGTCTGCAAAGAAAGAAAACAAAGATTCAATATGTTCTTCGTCTTGTCTTGAGCAGACATGAATAAGTCTATATTAAATATAAAGGGGAGTACTTTCACGAATGAAGTCAGTTTACTGGATGTCTATTCCGTTTGAAATGACAAATGATTATTAGTATAATAAATAATTCTCCACTGTAATGATATCAAAGAATTCATCCATTTTCAACTTTCTGCTTTCTTTTCCCAGCGCAAGAGGTTCTGAGAGGATGCTTTATGATTTTTCGTTCCACAAACGATCATTATTTTACATTTCAGATGCAAAAAAGATATCACCGTCAAATTCTTTTTTTATCTCAAAGTGGAAAAGAAAACGAATGAACAAGTTTTGCCATTTGATTAATACTTGCATCATAGAACCCAAACAGAGAGCTAATGAATTGGGTTATGAAATATGAAATGCTTAATTAAATGAACATAAGACTTTGTGTTTTCAACTAGAAAATCATTGCCTTTATTTATTTGTCTATTATTTCTAACAAAGCACATATATACATAGTAATTTTAATAATCTTACATATATTGTAGCTCAATTCAAATATATTATATAATATATATATATATATATATATATATATATATATATATATATATATATATATATATATATATATATATATATATATATATATATATATATATATAGTTGTTACTTTTTAAATTCTAATCTTCAGCCTCAATTTAAACTTGCACAGGAGTGTATATGTCCTATATATATATAAAGTTCTGTGTGTATTCTTTTCTCATATATTCTTAAATTATTTACATGGTATGTAAACAGATATGTATTTAGAACTATATAATCTTTTCTTTTGGGAATATTGGATCAATAATGAATTATCGCCCGCTGTAAAATTTTATCGCCTATAGGCATTATTGAATTACTTTTTATACAGATAATTTCAACAGTACTTTCGCCGTGTAGGGCAGCGATGCACGTTAAATCTGTCGAGAGCTGAAACGTCCTCCCGTTGGTGTGGTGTGGTAGTTAGGAGAGGGGGGTGCCAGCTCAGGTGTCGTCCACGTCACTTGACCATGGTTCAAAATTACGTGGTCCGTCGCCAAAAGCCCTCGTGTAGCTGTGCAGTGCGACGTTAATATTAACTCACTCACTCAACAGTACTTTCAATTCCTGACTTAGTGTTCAGTATCGATGACCCTAAGGGGATCCTAAATTTGAAATTCACTATGCCTTCCCCCCCCCCGCCACATTTAAGACAGCTCTCCATTAATATTCTTTTTTGTCACGAAAAATACAGTATGTAAGTTAGTTTTCTCTGTGTTTTCTGATGTGTGCTTCAAAGATAACTTCAATTAATTATTTCTGAAATTCTCGAAATACTCGTATATTTGATTGACCATGGAATCAACTAAGTTACTGTATTCTATTCACGTCTTCATTTATGTAATTTTTCCAGTTCGGAGAAGTTACTGAAAAAAAAATCACTTTAAATGGAATTTTGATTTATTTTTTTATAAAAAAAATTAATTATTTAATACATCCATCAATAAAATGATTATTTTATGATCTTGATAGTCTTGAAAAAATAAGCATCAGTTAGCGAAAAATTTTTAATCTAATATATTATCTTAATTTCACGTATAGTCCTCAAAAAACTAATTTTAATGCCGTCTCAATTTTTTACTTGATTTATTTTGTTAGAAAAAAAACCACGTCTTATATTTTATACATACAGTGAATTTTTTTTTCTGTGATTTTCCAACCAGACTCAGAAATATAATTAATTTCAAAATGAGAATTTAATTATTTCCATTTCAAATCAAATTAAATTATTACAAGTGTTGAATAGGATGGATTCAAATATAAAATAATTGAAAACCTCAAAAACATTTAAAAATCTGTTAGTTTTCTCTTTTGAAGTATATATTC